TTTAATCTTTACCAAATTAGCACTAAGCAAATATGAAGAAACGATGGTATTTGTTGGATATTCAGTTCATATCAAAACGGCAAATAGGGGGACTATTCTAATTGATTTCTTCAACTTATTAAATTGTTTTCACAAACTGGTTTTTATTTCATTTGAATTAATAGTTTATTCCACATAAATAATTTGTATTAATTATTTTTATATTCTCACATCTTACAGTAATATTTTTATAGTATCTATAAAGCATTTCGAATAATGTGCAACACATGTTCAACTATGACTGACATTTATAATCGAACGTTGTATCAATATAACTACCATTTTGTAATATACCTATATTTCAATTTTTAATGCGATACAAGGCTCATGTTTGGTGAAGATTAAAATCAAATTTTTAATAAATTTTGATTAAAGTTGATGAAATATGTAATTGAAAAGTTGTGATCCTATAAAATATATTGTTAAAATTAATTGTTGATTTTGACTTAAAATAAAATTTTAATTTTAATTTCTACCAAACAAAGGCTATACCTAATTTGCCCTTTAGTTTTAACCATGTCCTGTCAATCATATTCAAATGTGGAAATTACACTACAATAGGTATTTAAAGATGATAGTTCTAAAACTATGTATTAAGTTTAATTAAGCATTAATCAGGTATTAATTCCAAATCCTAAAAATCATTTTCCGTCTCTCCATGTCTCATCTCACTCTCTCTATCTTCACCTGACACACGCATGGACAGTGTTGAAGACATGGACAACACTAGAGATACCACATCGACTCTGTCTCTCTCTCTCTCTCTCTCTCTTTCATGGAGTTTTTCACAGATGCGATGATTTCACAGCGTTTTCATAGAAGGGTTTCATAATATCAAAGGAACAAAATTTGGTCCAAAGGGAGTCGTTGGAGGCTCAAATGTGAAATCTCTTTCCGATGCAACATATGATGAACCTAATTTTGAGAGTATTACATGCATCGCCTGACTCCTACGCTCTCCAATTCCATCTTTCTTTTCGTTTTATTTAGCTTCTAATAAATTGACATCGTCCGATTTCGTAAGTTTGAGAGAGTATTTTTGTCTTTCTTTGAGGGGAATTTTTTAAACAGATACATTTTATTAGTGCAGCGACATGTTTGTGGTTTTTCTTTTGTCGGGATGGTGATTGTGGTGTTGTTATTTGGAGATGAATATGGAGGTTGTGATTGTTGTTGGTGGTGGTGTGTAGGTCATAGCCGATTGAGTTTATGTGACCAAATCTTTTGAATATATGACCTGTTAAATGCACATGTCATATGTCAAAGTGCATAAGTCACATGTCACAGATTGAAGAGATTTGGACACAGGTTATTGGATCAGGTCACAATCACATATAATAAGGATACACGTCAAAGTGCATAGGTCACACGTCGTGGATTCAAGAGATTTGGTCACGACCTAAGAGATTTATTCACACACTATTGAATTAGGTCATATGTCACATGTCAAGTACATAGGTCATAGGTCACATATTTAAGAGATTTGGTCACAGACCATTAGCTCAGGTCACACGTCACAGATTCAAAAGATTTGGTGGTCACATGCCATTAAATCAAGGTCATATATCATATATCAAAGTGCATATATCACATGTTACAAATTTAAGAGATATTGTCACATGCCGTTGATTTCTCCAACATCAACTATCTGAATTGATCATAAATTCAAGAGATATGGTCATATGCCATTAATTTCTCCAACCTCAATTATCTGAATTAGTCACAAATTCAATTAACCAAATTTAGATTGTGAGAATTTAAGTTATAGTTAGTTCTTTGTAAATTATACAAATAGTTATTTATAAATTTTCAATTTTAAATTATACCAGCACCACTGTGTCATGAATGAAGAAGATGATTAGTCGTCGATGATGTTCATTAGCTGCAAATCGACAATTAGTTCACCACTAAAGAAACCGCCAACAGGGTGGATGCAACAGAAAGTGGATACTGACGGGTGGGTCGGTGCGATTGTTTGGTGGGGTGGGTGTGGATAGATTAATTTAATTTGATAATACTATTATTTAAAATTAAAACATGAACTTGAATTTTTAAACTTAATGTTTGAAAATTGATTTGGTGCATACTTAATACCTGATTTATGAATTTTTTTTACGGGAACAATATATAAATCAGGTTTTTAGTATATACTATTTCAAAATTAAGGATAGATGTTTTAAATTTCAAAAATCGGGTTTTCATTAAAATTTATTTATGATTTAATTAATTAATTATGATTTAATTAATAAATATATAAAGGACACAAATCTATGCAATTTGGTCACACTTCAAAAAATTTATATGTCACAGTTCGTTAATCGATCACAAATTAAAAACTTAAAAGTCATAATTTGTTTATCGGTCACAAATCATAAAATGTATAAGTCATACAACTTATTTTACGATTACAAAATATCTAATTAATTGATCACAAATTATTTCGAGATCACAAAATAAAAATTTTATACGTCACAATTTAATTCATTGGTTACGGATTAAAAAATTATAGATCACAGTTTATCTATATGTTACATATTTCTAAATTTCTTGATCACAAATTATCGAAATTTAAGATCACAGATTAATAGTAAGTCACAACAAACTAAATTGTCAGTCAAATACACCAAAGACCCCACCTCTGTCCCTATCATTTAGTCACAAATCAACCAAATAATTGGTCACAAATGCGACCCCACCCCCGCCCTCACCACAACACCACCCAAACCACCACCGTCGCCCTGTCACAACACCACCACAACCACCGCCGCAATAACAACAAAAAACAACCACACCAATCGCCACTTGCACCGCAACACCAAAAAAACCACCACCACTGTTGTTCACAACACCACCACAACCACTGCAACAATAACAACAAAAAACGATCAAAACATATCCACCATAGAATTGATAGGTTGAAGTCTTGTGGAGACCTCAAATGACTGGCAATAGACGGAACCTGCCTGTCTGTGAGTTGTCTTGCTTGATTCGTCCATGTTGGTTCGAAATTGGATATGACCCCTGGGTTCATTGGATACTCCATGATGAGGCGTTGTTGGGGGTGGTGGTCCACGACCATAGGTCGCATCGCTGATGTCGAAAATAATGACTGAAGGGTCCGAGTTCGTTGTGGAGAAAAAATTCTGCAAATCTGGATTTACAGTTTTGTTTATTGTTATGAAGACATCTGTAGGTGCACCTTGAAGAGGCTGATCGACCTGTAGGGTAGGTATGACATAGGTGTTGCTAGAAGTCAAGTTTTCAACCAGATCTTGGTGCGTGTTGAGGCAATTTTGGCTCAAATTTTCAGCTGATTCTGGTAACTTTGAAGCAAGATGTTGGGTGGGAATTGTAGAGGGTGATGAGAGCTTTCTAACAGTATGGTGATTCACTGGTTTGGGTAGTGGTTGGCAGGAGTTTTTGGACTTCAAAGGAGTCGGCGCCATGTTTCCTTACTTTTCCAGGGAGAGAGATGTGGACAAAATGAAATAAGTAGGGTTTGAAATTGTGTAGGATTGATTAAAATAAAAAATTATTAATTAAAACATGATTTATGTATTATTAAAGTTGATTGTGAATTTATGAAAATTGTAAGTTAAAAACCCATGAGGCTGTAATTTCATCTTTTTTTTTTCCCCTATTCAAATTCTCTCAAGTAATACCCATCACTTCTTGCCAGCTAAGCCCAAAATAGAAATTTTAGTCCAATTGACCATATCATTGTTGTCTGAGAGAAATTGACACAAATGGCACTAAACTGGACAAATGGATAAAAAAGCCAAGAATTTACTCATTTAGCTAAACACGGGATAATATCGAAAACCAATTTTGCCATGTTTCATAATTTCTTACATATAACCTATTACGTTAATCCGTACGAGTTATTACACGAATGAAAAATAAAAAAATATGCATTGTATCAACTATGATATATTGTATTTGTTCACTATCATTAAAATATGAATCATGTTACAGTAATATAATTACATATGCTACCTTATTATTGGATTGTTTTAAACACGGTCAACTTTCATAAAATAATCCATCTTTTTATTATTATTATTGGGTTTTCAACGAAAAGTATTGAGTTTTGTCACCTCTTCAATGATCTCTCCATTAGATAGAAACTTTTTTTTGCACCGAAACACCATGTTCTTCGTCAACGAAGATATTTTATATCTGTAGAATTTATAGTTCTTATCTTTGTAGAAATTGAGTTTCTCGATTCAATCAATATAAAATTTAAAAATTGTTATAAGACCCATAACTTAACTGGTGGAATTAATAACAAAATAACTCAAATATTTATTATTATTATTTTTTATAACTTGGATGTCCGGTCAACTTGCGCGCACATCAACTAATTCCACGGGACCTGAAATTTATGACCGCTACTCACTTCAGTGGCCTTGAAGGGACTCGAACTGGTGACTATTGAGGAGCAAACTCAAAATCTGACAAATTGAGCAATCTCTCAATGTTACTCAAATATTTATGAATATATGATCTTGTATATAAAGAAATAAAAATGACACAAGTTTATGCCTGTTTATTTATGCATTTATAAGGTTTTCTCAACTTCTTTGGCATCCTTAGTACATTGACTCGTACTAGCAAGAATCAATCTAACACTGAATGGCATGATAAAATTCATGACCTTAGCATGGAGACGGCCAAAATCTTTCCTAACGAAGTGCCCTCCGTTGTTTTGAATTTTCCAACGGCTAATCAATCGCAACTACTGGACGTAATTTTATTTTTTTCGAAAGAAATTTATAATTTTAATATTTTTAGCAAGGTACTAAGAATAAACAGAACCAAGATATCTGGATGCTTCGAAAAAATTGAAGATTCTTATTACTTGGCCGATTTATATCCACAGTTAATACTCGTACACAAATAAGTGCCACCTGAAAATAATAATCCAAGACCATCATCTCCGCTGTTTTTCTCGCTGGAAAATGATGGCCGGGGTGTTGAATTTTACTCCAACTCCGATTTTCAGGCCACTTTCGACTCGGAGATTATCCAACAATAGAGTATTTTTTGTACAATCATCAACAAATTCTTCAGAAACCCCTGTGGCTTCGTCCTCTGTAACAATCAAAGAGGAACCCAGTTCGGGTTTCTCCATATCGCCTCCTCCTAACTTCAAGCCTCCGAAGCCCAAGCCCTTTTCAGTCCGGCCTGATAAGGTGCTCGACATTTTGGGGGCTGCTCTTGCCTTGGTTTTTCGCCTTACTACCAGTGTTCTCGTTTCTGGGTACGGTTTCACTGTGTTTGTCTTGCAAGGAATTTTGGTAAAATTTATTATTTACACGTTTCTAACTAGAACCTATACATGTAAAAACAGGCAAATATGATTGTATATAATTGTTTGTGTGTTTCTATAATATTTAATTATTTATGTTAAAAGTGAAATGCAAAGCATAGTAATGTAGATTTTGGGCGAGACTTAATAGGATTTTTCATAAAAATTGTTGGCATTTCATAAATGCACTATCAATTGAAATAGTTTAAAAGCGTTTCACACAAGAGAAGGTGAATTCATAGAGATGTAGCATAAGAATTAATTTAATCTAAAGTAACTTTCAAATTAATCTAGTGGGAGAAAAAATTGGATTTCAATTGTCAATTCATTGAAAAGGTACCCCAAAAGCCTAATCGTATTCTTATTTATTGAAGCTTACGAAGGATCCTAACTTGTTAATATTAGGAATTAACACATTTATAAGTCGGTCCTTCATTTTACGTGCAAGTAGGGTCTCATTTGAGCTAAGTATTTGAGCCTCTTGAGATGGAAAACTATCCCAAACTAGGATATAAGTTTTCATATCATGTCCACTCATCGTCATTCGATTTTAGGATACATGTATTAACAACTCTTCATCCCCTCTCTTTATAAACTGAAGGCGTTTTAAGGAACTCCCTCATTCAAATATGTACCTCTTTGGATATGCTGCCTCTTGCTACAAATTTCTTGTGCTCTTGATGATCTAGGGGTAATTTTGAGGCTGCAATGGAACTTAAGAAATATGAGCTCCTTTGAGTGAATTTCTTGGATTTCTATAAAATCTTCATTGAGTGATATGCTCTTCCATCTATTGCTCCTTGGGTTGGTTTCAAGAGATGAGATAGTAGGGTCCACAAGAAAGGATACGATTAATTTGCTAAAAAGATTTGAATCCAAGATTTAAGTGATGCTTCAGATAGGTGAAAATAAATTAGGAGATGGGGAATGCATAATATGAAGTTCCTAACTATGGGACTACTGCTCAGCGAAATAGCATTTCAAGCTAATTGTTTATCTCACTTTTCAGATTGTCAGTGGTATCAAAGATAAAACGATCTGACATAAGTCGTGATAAAGCTGCGTTAAACCAGCGATCAGCTTGTGGTTATCAGTTCTGGTGTTTTAAGCTCTCACAATATTATTTGCCTATCTGGATAGTTATTGCATGTGAAGCATGTTAATCCAAAAATGACAACTCGACTTGTCTGAACTGTGGATTTGGAGGCTTTCCAGTTACTGTGTTTCGTGAATTCCGATCTCTCTTAATTTTATAATTCATATATGGCAGGTATTCAGCATCTTTTGTACCCAAGAATGAGATTCCATCTGAAGAGTATGCTCTTGAATTTGCAGGTAAAACAAAATTCTTTATTTCTCATACTCATTTTCAACCGCATTTACATAATAAAATATTATGCACGTAAATTCAAAACTTCCGTCTACTTTTTAACCACATTCTTCAAAAAAATCACTATTCACAACATCATTTTCCTCCAATTTCTCTTTATGATAATTGTCAAACAGGGGCTCAATGTTTATCTCACACAAATTTATTTGTGCCATATCAAAAAGTAGGAAAACTCATATATGCCACCTAAAAATATCATGTGGGGTATATTTGAGAATCATCACGCTTGGACAAGTTAAACTGAAACATGTAAGATTAATCAGTTTACTGGTGAATTGATTTCAGTATAAACTGATTGCACTTTATATTCCATTAAAATAAAATACTATGGGAATCAAAATGTAGTGAAATATATATAATGTAAATAATCTAGGACGTAGAAGTTGAAATAAGTTGATTTATTAAAACTGGTCAAATATAATTCAACTTTGCTTTCGTCAGATACGGGGTTGCACATTTGATGTTCTGTTTGCTTTTGCGATGTAGCCTTTTGATATATGCTTCTCAGGAGCTCTATTTTTATACAGGATTTACGTTGAAAGAAACTTCAAAATTAGGTCCACGCCCTGAGAAGCCAATTGAAATTTATGAGTTTGAAAGGTTTTTCCGAATCTTCTCTTCTTGCTCTTGTATATATGTATTTCAGTTGTTGATTTAATTTTAGGTCATTAGGCTCTTTGTTTTCCCTATTATATCCATGTGGTACTTCTTTATCGAAGACTAAATACATATGTTGCTCTGTTCAAAAATGGATTATCGTGGAATGCGTGGAACTTTCTTCAGCTGCCCCTTTTGTCGGAAGGTAATGCCTGCAGAATTTTAGTGTCTTAAATTATCAGATTGACTATGGACTATGGGATGACATTTTTCTTAGGGAAAACATCACTCGACTATGGTTATTTTGGGAATGAATAGAATCTCATGGACCTTTTGCACTCTTGTATATGAGCATATATACTATTTAGTTGCAGCATGTTGCAAATCATTCCTTGATGTAGATCTTATAATATGTTTTGACAATTAATGTTATTACAGGTTCGGGAAATTGTTGCGTTTTTGGACCTTGATGTGTTGTTCTATCCTTGTCCAAAAAATGGCCCAAATTTTCGTCCCAGGGCTGTACAGCTGGGTGGAAAAAAGCAGTTCCCTTACATGGTTAGATACTGCATGAATTGGTGTAAAGAAAGTGTGATGGAAGTTGAAGTGCTTTTCGTATCAATATTTTCTAAATCCCGTTTCTCTGAATCTAGAAAATACTCTCTCAAAAGGATTATTTGTTGAAGCTTGCTTATTTGTGAAGTTTCTGATACCCTCCTTTATAATTACTGAACTTCAGTTCTTGATCTTTGGTAAATTTTAAAACGGAGCTAAAACTTATGTTTCTTGTTTCAGGTTGATCCAAACACAGGAGTTTCCATGTACGAATCAGATGACATCATCAAGTACTTAGTTCAGAAATATGGTTTGTAACTTTAATCTGCTATTTCGCGCTTCCATTTTATTATGTATTTTCGACCATCTATTTCACTGAATATACATTTCCATGCACAAACGTTGACTTAATTTACCATAGCCCTTAGTAATTCAATTTGTTATGTTGTTCTGGGATTTTCTAAAATCAAAGGAGTATCTGGATTCTAATATGTTAGCCTTAAAATGGTTACCTTTGGATTAAACATTTTAATTAATTTATCGGCTTTGGATTGCTTCTCATTTGTATTATCTTGTTCTGTTTCCTGCAGATACACTAATTGTATTATCATTGACTTCCTTTTTCTGTAGGTGACGGAAAGGTTCCAATTATGTTGTCTCTAGGTCTACTGACTGTAAGAAATACAATCTTGGTTTATTAAATTAATTGGAAGAGTACATACATGTGTAATTTTGAATGGTTGCCTGCCAACTTCTTTTCTCACAGACCTTGACCGAAGGTTTTGCCATGATTGGTCGCATGGGGAAGGTATAGTCTCTGTTTTGGTGCCTCTCTCTGTGCATGTGTCTGTGTGCATGCTTTCTTGTACATTCATAAATCTGTTTATATGTACTAGTGCATATTTACATGTACGTGACTGTACGATTTTACTTACATATGCATAAACATGCATGCTCTTTCGTTCACTCACAAGATTTTCAAGTTTTATAGCCAATGTTCATTTAATAAAACATGCAAACTCAACGTTATTAACAGTATAGATAAAAATTATTTTTTTCTATTCACCATAACATAGATTCACACTTAGAAATATCCTGCCGTTGTTTTGCAGGGTAGTTCCTATACTCCATCAAAATTGCCATCCAAGCCTCTTGAGATATGGGCATATGAGGTTAGATTATGGTGATTTTGCAGATTATAAGTTGACAGATGACTTCATATAGATAAATAAATCTCTCTCTTTCTGGTGTTAAATCCAAAGATTAAATCAAATATCATTTGGCTCATTATGAACACGCTTTAAGTTCATGTTTGGTTTGTAGTATTAGATCGTAATGGAATGTGCAATGAACATAATTTTAGCTTTTTTTCTTATTTAGCACTATCTAGTACTGTCCAATCCAAGGAATCAGAACATTTTTCCTGAGGGTAACGACATTGATTTTCTGTTCAGGCTTCGCCTTTCTGCAAAGTTGTACGTGAAGTACTTGTAGAGTTGGAGTTACCTCACCTACTTCACAGGTAAATTCCATCTGTCAATGCTGTAACTGCAGATCCCTACAAATGCATATCTACAGTAACTTCTATGCAACTCCACTTGTATTGTACATATGGAAAAAAACTTTGATCCTTTACTGAAGAACTACTTTATATTGTAACAATTTCACATGCTAGGACTTGAGAAAAATGAAGTCGGGACGCACATAAGAGATAAATGTAGAATTAAAAACATAAATGTATAAATTCTCTCATTCAGAAGCTAAGATTTTAGACGTGGTGATCGTACATTAGGGCAAGCATTTGAGTATTTGAAAGAAGTGTTAATGAATTAAAGTAGTAGTGTTCTATAACTTGTAACTTCTCCTTTTTGGCAGAAATTGCAAATTAGAATATGTAAATGCTAATTTGTAGAACGGTGCAAGCTATGTATATGTGCAGTGAGTATACATTTGCCTATGTCCCTGAGTGAATATCTTCTCTATTTTGTGTCGTTTCACTTGGTGGAGAAGAAGGAAACTGAAGGTTTGACAGGAATTGTTAAAATTAAGCCTCCGTTAATATACAAATTTTTAAATGGTTTATAAATTATTAAATTCAATCAAAGTCAAATATTAATTTTAACTACACATTCATAATTGATACTCATTATTATCCACATATTTTCGTGGGACCACTGCTATTCCTCTTGATAAACCATTTATAAATTTGCCAAATGGAGGCTAAACAATCTCAATGAAAGATTGACGAGGAAATCTTTAGAAATGGCTGAGTTCAAGTGAGAAATATCATTGGTAGTTTATTCATGTAATTTGGCCAACTGGGTCACTATCTGGAAAAATCTTGTTCCAAAAACTTGGAAATCGAATTTCTGTTTTTCATATTTGAATAATTTCTACAATGCATGAATTAAAATCAAAGAATTAGCTAATATTTTCTTTAAGCGCAGAAATACATTCGTCCCAGTATTTATTTAATGAATTTCGTATTGCAGCTGTGCACGTGGCAGCCCAAAAAGAAGTATACTAAAACAGAAAGTAGGACATTTTCAGGTCGGTGTTTGTTTTCATGAAAAAAATTAAATACATATGTTAGATGTCTACCAATACGAGAAAACATGATCGTTCTAGCTAATTTTTGGCAGGTTCCTTATTTAGAAGATCCGAACACTGGAATCCAAATGTTTGAGAGTGCAGAAATCATTGAATATCTACGTGCAACTTATGCTCTTTAACAGGCGAGGCTCTCTCTCGTTGAAAGACTTGTTTCTGGACTGTGTAATGTATATGTACGCATGATTCTGGTTATGGAAATTTGCCTGTTGTATGATGCAAGAAATAATATTTATGAAAATCTCTTATAAAGAGAACATTCTGGTGAGTAAGAAACATGTAGATGGTGTCGAACATCATTTGTATACGTAAATCATTTTAGTGAAAGTTGTAAATGATTGAGTGGCTCAGGAAGATACTTGTAAATCGCCTATATGATGGTTTATGCTTGTCTTGTGAAGAGAACTGTGTGGTGCGTAAGAAACATGTAGATGATGTTGAACATTACTTGTATACGTAAATCATTTAGATAATTACTTTATTAATAATATTTACTCTCTAATCAAATATTTTTAAATAAATTAACATTGTTTAAAATCCACAAATGAGTGTATATGACATGTCACCGTTGCTTAATATAAGATGAGTATCAGTGCTCAGTTGATCATTCGTGTATATATGAAAGTATATATCAGTTAGCAGCATGTGAATCTTTTAGTAAATTACTGAATCAAATGGACAACTCACAACTTAGTTCAATTGTGTTCTTTCATAAACCTTGTCCTTCAGCAATATCATTGCCTTGGTGTAGGTTTTTAAACACCCCGAACTACTATTAGGGGTGGGCATTTATTCACCCAAACCCAATGTCACGGTCCAAACAAGTAGTAAGTCTGCAAGGTTTAAGTAGTAGGTACCATGATCAATCGGATACATTTGAATAATTGAATATTATTCTCATTTGTAGCTACTTTAAGCGAAGTTCGCCCCCTTTCAACCTTCTTGAGATCTCACATGTAGAGTCAATGTTGGAATTTGATGCTATTATGCTAGATTTAGATGTTATTCGGTAGCACATTTGTGGCGATTAAGAAAGTGTTGAAACATATATGTGGTGGTGTATTTTTTTTTTTTTTTCTGATAAATACTATGAATATAATTTGTATTTTCAGTTCACCGTCTTTAAAAAAGTTACATTGGAACCAATGGTATGGGTTCGAATTCGGTTTCAATAATTACATAGGATTTGAATGATTTTATGTACGAAATATCTAAAGTGTAATCGATTGTTCCGAGTATTAAAATAGTCAGACTTAACTACTACTAACTTATTAGCTACTCTTTTCTTGAAAAGAAAATTTTTTCAACAAAAACAAATGAAAGCCAAAGGAGGCTTTTTTCATCAGTTAATTGCTTTCTGGCTGAGCAATTTGGCTTCAGACAGGTGCGTAAAAGATAAAACAAATTAAGTATTTGTGCAAATATAAAATTGAAAAATGGGAAGTTTAAAAAAGTACAATCTTTTACACTATGAGTGTGTTTGGTAGGGATTTTTGGGGGAATAATTGATTTTTGAATAGTGATATGATAGGAAGTGTGTTTGGTAAGAAAGAATTATGCTCATTGTACACTTCTTGTGTACATAGAGTTTGACACTCCTTTGCAAATTCAAAAATGGAGCGATGGAAAAGTGTGTTGTATTTTCAAACTGATCAATCGTGCTGCAACATGTGGCACAATGTCAAATTTGATGTCAAAAACAATGTACTTGTAGCATGATTGATATAAGAAAATATTGATAAGCATAAATTTACATGCCCACTCCAAATGACCTACCTATAATTACACTATTCCATACTCAAAAAATAAAATGAAGAAAAAAAAAAAAACTTGTCCGCATTCTCATCCAGATCCACGAGGAATACAGTTAATCAACTCTTGCCACGTCATCCAACAACTCCTCTTTCAACTACCACATATGACTTTTACACGTCCCCCGTAATCAACTTTCACCCGTGGAGTCCCCGCGCCGATCTAACTGCAACGACTTCGATATCGCCTGATTTAAGTCCTCGGCAGTCCAAGACCCCGATCTCCGGCCGGACGAGAACCTTTTTACTCCTCCCAAACCAGGCGGCTCAGCCACCGGTTCATCACTTACCGGGATCTCGCGTAGTTTTACACTCACGCTCTTCCTTTGAGGCTCAACTGCCGTTACAGTCTCCTCCACCACCACTCTTCGACTCCCCGATCGGACCGGCTGGTTATGGTCCTTCATGCACAAAATGACGCACATTAGCTTAGAATAGAACCCGGTTTTTTGTTTCTCTCCAGAGGTCCTTGTTTTCTCCGCCGGTTTATCATACTTTTTCAACGAATTTGACCTCCTCCCACGCTTTGATCTAACTCTTCCCATGCAAGAAACCTTGGGCGAAGACGGCTCAACCACCGAGACGGATGTCTTCCCTACGGACTCGGACCGTTTCGGAAACAGCCTTATATTAGTCCGTTTACAATACCTTCTCTTAGAATCAACATAAGTAGTTTTCTGGGTTTGGGGCAATCCAATAATCGATGCCTTGGATTTAAGATTAACCGGGATCCGTTGAGAACTTGCGTTCGAACTCGGGTTGATACTTGGGTTCAAGTTGGTGGAATTTGAGTTGCCTCTGATGGATTCTTTGTGCTCGTAAAATGCGTTGCGATCGAACCAATCATATTCTGCGTCCTTCGAAAGCCAGAAAGATTCCGGTGGATAGTCCAGCGCCGGCTGTACGTCAACGGAGTCTTCACCAGCGTCTGGGGTCTCTTCATTCTTTGGTAAATCTTCATTTGCCAATGTTTCACAGATAATTTTCTTGTCATTTAGGTTTTCAAGATCAACTTGAGACATCATAGAAGACTTTTAGAGAGAGAGAGAGACTAAAAGGTGATGGTGGATTGGAAATTTAATGAGGACAGAAGGAAGATAAATCATCAGAAACTAGTTAAAACAAAATTTACATTTCCTAATTTTATCTTTTTTTTTTCTAGAAAAAGATAAGAGAGAGAAAGAAGGTTAAAAGGAATAATAATTTATCGTGTTGAAAATAATACAAATGCAAAAGCATTCAAAACTATGAATTACTTTGACTCGGAATTTTCAATCATCAGATTGTTTCAATGAAGATTTGATCGTTTCCAAATATAAAAGTTGATGAAATGTATAATTAAAAAGTCGATAAAAGCTGTTCATGCCATTAAATATATAATTAAAATTAATTACTGATTTTGATTTAAATTTTTATCAACTTTTTATTTAAATCAAATAGGGATCGATGAAAATTGAAAAGCTTATTTGACTTATGTGTCGATCATTGTCCGTCACCCAAAAGAGTATTTGGTTTTTAAGAAATGAAATTGATAACCCTTTTATATTATAGATCATGCTACATGTACCGAATTTTTTTACTGAGTTTTTTACCTACTACTAACAATGGAGATGTGGACCATTTTAAATACACGCGGGCCCCGCGTATTATGTGAGAGGGGGTAATCCATCATGTACAAACTATTATATGCAAATGGATTAACCCTTATATTATTTAACACCTTAAGTTTATAAATAATTAATGACATTTTTGTTTATTTTTAAAATTTATTTAATGATTTTATATTTTATTTTTCATACATTGTAACTAAAAAGTACAGTACGGAGTCACTACTGTACCATCGTATGTTTTTAATTTATTTCAAGAATTAATTATTATTTCTTGTCAATTAGTGTATACATGATGTGATTCTTAAACAGATCAATTGTTTATTCATCCAATAATTATCGTTCTCTATTATGATTCAATAATTTAAGATTGATTGAGTACCAAAAAATTAGTACAGCTAATTATTTGTCGCATACCGAAGTTTTGGTCAGGGACTCAGGGCTGGACATTTAATCGCAGGCCGAACTAAACCGACCAACTTGGGAGGGTTTGTGTCGGTTTTTGAGGACCTTGAGGTTCGGAAGTGGGCCAGTTCATGTTTTACCCATCGACCAGGTCTGATCCAACCTACATGGATTGAAATTTGCCCATAGGGCACATCTCCAAGTGGTAAAAGAGAAAGCTGAAAAAATTCCAACTTTGCTTGAGGCTGCCGCGTCAGGGTTCGAATCCTAAAATATGAATTTGACTATTGGGTAAGTGCAAGTGTACAAACAGTCTTCCACCATATATCATTGGAGGCATAACCTGCGATTTACCTCATTCACAAAGACACAGGACATGACAGGTGAGGACCGTCAAGGATGCGGTTCATCCTTTTTACATGGATTGAAAATTTTAAGTGGAAATTACATCATACCAAAATTTTAAATTTTAAATTTCAAAACTCAAATTTATAAGTTTTTATTTCAAAAATCAGATGATAATTCAATTTTTAATATTAATTATATAATTACTAAATTAAATTAACCCACCCACACTTCACTTCTCCAGCCCTAATTCTTGTCCCCCTTTTTTTTCTCTCTCTCTCTCTCATATCCTCCTCCTCCTCCTCCTCCTCTCTTCTATGCCTTTAGCACACACCACCATCGGAGACTGTCAACACCGCTTGTCGCCATCAGGTAAGCATCGTCGGGCGCAGAGTTTCCGTTCCCAGCAAAGCCCCGACAGAAAGCGCTGGTGCTGCACACGGTCCAGCACCTCTGTGCAGCGGTGTAGGAACGCGACACTCTTCTTCCGATTTGCGTTGGGGGCATTTTAGGTGAACGACGTCGTCATTTATGAGTGCTTTGGGGTTTGGGTTAGCAGCATTGTGATTTGTAAATGGTAATGTTTCTTCCTCCGATCTGTTTNAATTAATTTATAAATAAAATTTAAAAATATCTGAAATTTTAAATTTTAAATTTAAGTTCTTAAATTTGAAATTGGTAAAACTAAACCTGTTGATTATGTATCTTTCCCATTTTTTAATATATGAACCTAAATCAATTAAAAAAAATGAAAAACGAAAAATACACAAATTTGAATGCGTAAGTACCCAATTCCAAACCCATCCAAGACCCCTATCCCATCTTTATCTCTCCCTTGTCGCCTCTCTCTCAGATGCATACTCTTGTCTCTCCCTCCGGTAGATATGGATGAGTTAATTTCTTGAATTTTATTGAATATCTTTTCATCTTCTACGTGTCGACCCCAAATGTCTTGAATGCAAAATATATTTGCGTTTGACACCCATTTTTTGAAGATAAAAATTTTTAGAATAGTGATTGATGGGAGAATGTGTGGTGGAAAAGTTATGAAAAGTTTTAGATTTGTGTGTAATATTATTTTATTGGAAGAATGTGTGGTTGAAATGAAGTAAGAGAAAAAAATGAGAATGAGAATGAGAAAAAAAAGGGTGTCAAACAGGGGCTTAATTTTGGTTGATGTTTTCCACGCCAAAACTTAAATTTTGATGAACGAGCAAAAAGTTTCTAGAAGTGCCACTCAAGTGGGCCTTTCGAAAAAGAAAATAAGAAAAAAATCTGAGTGAAGATAGCATTTTCTAGAGAGAGACCTCTTATTTGATTTGATTTGATTTGGTTTTGTTTTTAGCTGGCTATTCAACTGAATTCGATAAGTAGATATTCCATGTGTTTGGGTATTTCTTTTCTAACAAAAAGAAAATTAGTGTAATTATTATGCTCTAAGTTCAATCAATTTTGGATATAAACACTTTAAATATATATAATTGATGCATGTATGGCAATATCTACGATTTAATTGAATTAATATTTTAACAAATTAAATAATAGAATCCGTAGGTTCAAGTCTTGGTGATTTGTTAATCTAATATCTATTATTTAATTAAATTATATTCTAATAAATTAAATAATAGAATCTGTATATTCAAGTTTTGGTGATTTATTAATCACAAGAATTTGTGATTATGAGATACAAATTATATATGACTGAATCTTAAATCGTTCGTGGTCAAAGTAATAATGAGACACGTATATCGTCATTACGGTTAGATCATCATGTGTGACATTCTTACTTATGAAGTTAGTAGTTGATTTCACAAGCTAAAATGTGGTAACACTTGAATGAACACGTGGATATTTTGTTATAGAACAAAATATTGGAGATTTTACATGGAAAATTATCTGAGTATTAGTGGTTAATATCTAACGTTCGGTAGTGGAATTGGTCATTTGACTTGAGGTCATCATAGTACCTTATATGAGGACATTCATACTTTGGTGGTGTTAGATGTTGCTTTGTCAATGGTCGATAATACAGCATCGTTCGGGTATATCAAGAATCATATGAAGGTTGTGAATGATCGTTAGAGGATTCGTCACTCTTAAATAGTAACAGATTATGATATACATTTTATCCAGTTAAATTGATAATGAAATCCTTGGCCATGGTGAACTCATAAGTGAAAAATGAGTTTTCGACTTACATTGACTTAACAGTGGGATAAAAGATATGATCGATAATTGAGATTGATACATATCCATATCTCATAATTGATCGGATCATATTGACGAAATGATTATAGTCATCGTTAGGGTCTGTCAAGAATCATATGAAGGTTGTGAATTATCAATAGAGGATTTGTCGCTCTTAGATAGTAAGAGATTATGATCTATATATTATCCAGTTAAGTTAATAATGAAATCCTTGGCCAAGGTGAACTCATAAGTCGGAAAAAAGTTTTCGACGTACATTGACTTAACAGTGGGATAAAAGATATGATTGATAATTGAGATTGATACATATCCATATCTCATAATTGATCGGATCATATTGACGAAATGATTATAGTTTCATGGTAAACGAACAAGTTTGGTTTTGTCATACTACGTGACATTTCCCGTGACATTAAGATGGGGTGTTTTAATTTATTGCCGACACATTGTTAGATGTCAATCTAGAACGAGGAATGTGAATTAGTGATAAATTAAAAGGGGTATTTTACTTTATCGATTTTGATTAGATCAAAATAATAATTCACGTCGTTAGATATCGTGATCGAAAACCTAATGGGTCACACACAAAAGAGAACCTAAGAATGAGATTTATCAATTAATTAATTGACAAGTGTTGGATAATTAATTAATTGAGTTGCTTATTAAGATGCCCGAATTAATTAATTGGATTAATTAATTCATGGACCAAATTTAATTAATTTGATTAATTAAATATTGGTTTGGGTTGAGTTTAAAAGACGGGTCAAGCCCGTTTGAACTTATATTAATAGACTGTTAAGGTTTGAAAACTATATGGAAATTTCATTATTCTTGCTAGCATAAGAAAAGAAAACAATGGCCGTCATTCTTGTTCTTTGTGTGGATCACCATTGGAGGCTGGACAATTGGACAACTTGGATTGCAGATCGTGATCATTAGAGTTCGAGAAAAAGCAAAGGAGCTCGTGGAATTCATCAAAGGGGTTTTTGCTTAAAAAGCCTNATGTGTGACATTCTTACTTGTGAAGTAAGTAGTTGATCTCACAAGTTAAAATGTGGCGACACTTGAATGAACACGTGGATATTTTGTTATAGAACAAAACATTGGAGATTCCACATGGAAAACTATCTAGGTGTTAGTGGTTAATCTCTAACGTTCGGTATTGGAATTGGTCCTTTGACTTGAGGTCATCATAGTACCTTATATGAAGACATTCATACTTTGGTGGTTTAGATGTTGCTTTGTCAAGGGTCGCTAATACAGCATCGTTCGGGTATATCAAGAATCATATGAAGGTTGTGAATGATCGTTAGAGGATTCGTCACTCTTAGATAGTAACAGATTATGATATACATTGTATCCAGTTAAATTGATAATGAAATCTTCGGCCAAAGTGAACTCATAAGTGGAAAATAAGTTTTCGATTTACATTGACTTAACAGTGCGATAAAAGATATGAT